TAGATGATCCATACACATGGATCTGCGGCTCGTCGACTGTTGCCTTCTCCGAAAACACTGACATGTATTTCATCCTGACAAACCCTCCTCGTCGTGCTAAGGAATTTCCTATACAGTCACGTATTTCAGACACTTTTTTTTCCACATCATCCCACAATGACAGAAAAACTCTTACCTGACCTGCTCTCACCAAGTCTGATCGCCCATCTACATCTGGGCGAGACATGACCGCCTTGAACCTGGATCCCTGAAGCACCATCTCATAGCGTGACACAAGCACAACTGCATCCACAAGTTTTCCGCTTTTGCTTGAAGAAGCCACACAAAGCACTCTGGCGAAAGGACATCCGTCATCCGTCAAGCGCACACAACAGTACGACAGAGCTTGTGGAGAAGTCCCTGGGCAACGGGGTGGKTAGTGTTCCAAGAATGAACAATGACGACTGCAGTCCACCAACTCTTGCTTCTGCGAACTTCCCCAAGTTTGTGGCGAAGATGTGATATACTCGCAGTGGAGGCGACGTCTGAAGCTGGTACGGAAGCGGACCGGTTTACCCTTATCGTCCAGGGTCTTTCGATGGAGGACACCAGCAGGCAGTGCAATGAGGCTCCCGAACTCCAACATGTTGGCCAACTTGTAATGGCTTGCCCATGGGCAGGAACGCTCCATCGCCTTCCAGTCATTTTCGTTCCATTCGTCGAGATGCCGGTTCATGTAAGGGACGACGGTTGTCCATGGGTTGTCCTCGAAGTCGTCCTCGGGTGCGTCGTCGATCCACGTTTGACCGTCATGATGCCGCAACGATCTCGCACAAGGTGCAAAGGGTTTCGCTAAGCGCATGTGCCTCTCGGGTGTCATGGCGATGCTTGTCGAAGGACTCGACGACATTAAACTCCCTACACAACACGAACACATGGATAGACATATGGAAGAAGAGACGGTCGTAAACAATATCGGTGAACGATAATTTCCCCGACGACGCCCACACCCAGCTGTAACGCCGTACACTTTTTTGTCGGTGAAGCCCTTACAGAAGGCCGTCAATCGGAAATGTCCAAAAAAAAAATATTTCCACGTCGCATTGCAAAGCCCTTACAGAAGGTCACCAATCAGAAGTTCACCAAGCCAATTGAGTGTTTTCTAAAAGCTACGCAGGGACCCGTTCCAGAGCAGATGCGGGATTTCAAAAAATTATCAAAACCCACGCCGTAAAGCACGTTGACACTGACAGAACAGTGGGACGGCCCTCGTCGAACGGAGCAGCACACCGATGCAGGACTGCCAAATTACACCGCCTCATCTACAGAAGACGTTTTCGCACAGTCGACATGATAGGTACTTTTCGCAGAGCCATGAAAGCACACACTCTACCTACCACGGTCATTCTGAATACGAGTTGAACAGAAGTGCAAGACAGACGCTCATCCAAACCTACAGCACCGCCCCGGATCCGAGGTTCGGACCAATCAGAGCCACCAGCCAATAGAAGTCCTAGACAGAAGCTCATCCATGCCCACCAATCCGTGGTTCGGATCAATCTGAGCAACCGCCCAGGAAAGATAGATATTAAATGGGATGTCGTGCGACCATCCGTGGCTCGGATTTATCCGAGCCACCGCCCAGCGACCTCGCCTCACTCGGAGGGATGTGGCAGAAGGATGAGACATCCCTGGAATCGAAGGCGGAGCCAGTAGGAAGCAACACGTCCTTTGCGATGTTTGCCATACTGCCCCATGTGCAAAAAGACAAAAGCCAAGAGTGGCAGACAAATCAGACTCAATCGCCGTCGAGCTATGAGGTTCGGATTAATTATACGGACCACAGCAAACGGTTTCAGTCAGGCGGTACCCAAACGTCCTTCGAAATGTTCACATTTCGCCTCTCGGAAGGACAAATAAACAACGAATACCATGAGTGCCCACCATCGGTTATTGTATGTTGCATTTAGGATGCGTGGCGTGTGCCGCCGTTTTCCTTTCCCGATGAGACCTCCCGTCACTGGGCGTGATACTCACCTCGGGACTCTCGATGCGGTGAGGGATGTGGTTCGGATTGATCCGAGCTATATCACACGTTTAGGAGTGACGCCGAACTTATAAGTCCTGTGTGAGTATTGCACAACCCAATGCGGAATAAATAAACACTGACAAAAGCCACGACTGTCGTCCATCAGTCTTCTGTGGTTGTGGTTCGGATTCATCCGAGCTACAAACGAAGGCAAAAGCAGATGGGGAGCTATCGAAGTCATGATTTCTGGAGATGTTTACTTCGAA